TAACTCATCTCAACTAATTATTTTATTTTTTCCATTTGAGGAAACTGCTGTTGATCAACTATCAAATAAAAGAAATCCAAACAGATGTTCAGCCTGAGTTGATGACAGTTTTATTTGATTGTGAAAAGCAAAAAAAATACTTATTTCCCCCACTGTAATAACTCATCTCAACTAATTATTTTATTTTTTCCATTTGAGGAAACTGCTGTTGATCAACTATTAAATAAAAGAAATCCAGACAGATGTTCAGCCTGAGTTGATGACAGTTTTATTTGATTGTGAAAAGCAAAAAAAACAAACAGTTTGAGACCTCCAACCTTCAGAGTCCGCCCCCCTAATCCAAAGTAAAGCATCGGCCCCGCCCACCCCTTGTTTGTTCGGGTTTAGTGGGCGGGGCTTCATTAAACTGGACGGGTGGGTGGGACTCTTAAGGTGGATGAAACCGCCCCACTGGGCCCAGAGGAAGCTGCTCAAGCCTCCCTCTGAGCTCTGGGAGCTGATCCACGTTCCAGTTCGTCTCCACAGACATTTAACTTCATCCACTCGCAAAATCACAGAAACAAATCGACTCAATCATTTAAAAAAAACAAAAAAAACTAAACTAAACTCAACCGCTCAGATTCTCCGATTCACTCTCTCCGCTTTGCTTAATGATCTGGAACGTCTTCTTTTGTGATTCGAACATTCCTCGGATTTCCATCTGTGGGAATTAGTAAAAACTGACTGTCCCAAATTCTGATTTAAAACAGTTCTGCTGAAGTTTTCATTAATTTGCCTGAAAAAACAGGAATAAGTGGCCCTTATTTAAGCACGATTTCCTCACCATGAGCTCATTTATGGTAGTTTTGTGTGGCATTCAGCTCACAGACTTACTGACATTAAAGTGGAACGATACTATTCTAAACAAAGATCAGACCTACTAACTCATCTGAACTAATTATTTTATTTTAACTGTTCAGATTCTCCGATTCACACTCTCCGCTTTGCTTAATGATCTGGAACGTCGTCTTTTGTGATTCGAACATTCCTCGGATTTCCATCTGTGGGAATTAGTAAAAACTGACTGTCCCAAACTCTGATTTGACTGTTTTAAAAGTTTTCAGTAATTTGCCTGAGAAAAAAGAATAACTGGCCCTTTTTTTTGTGCTTATTTGTTTCCCTGATGTATTACTGTGTGTGTGAATGGGTGAATAAGGTGCATTAACTTAAAGCACTTTGTAGAAAGGCGCTTTATGGAGTTCAGTCCGTTTTATTTTATTAGTTTATGGGCAGTTCTGCCACATCCAAGATGGCGGACTCGTTGACGTATCGCTGCAACGGATGAACAGGCTCAACGTAAATATGTCTATGGTCTGTCCAGTCCACCAGGGTGGGGCCATCTGTGGGAATTAATAAAAACTGACTGTCCCAAACTCTGATTTGACAGTTTAAAACAGTTCTGCTGAAGTTTTCAGTAATTTTCCTGAAAAAAACAAGAATAAGTGGACCTTTTTTAAGCACGATTTTCTCACCATGAGCTCATTTATGGTAGTTTTATGTGGCATTCAGCTCACAGATTTACTGACATTAAAGTGGAACTATATTATTCTAAACAAAGATCAAACCTACAGCGGGGGAAATAAGTATTTGAGCCCTTGCTGATTTTGC